AGCCCCTAATTTGAAGGGTCAGCCCTATTTTTTTGACATCAAATGAAAGGTCTTGCGATGTTGCACATTTTGTCTTCAATATGCTTTAACAAATTATGAACAGGTGTGAAGATATGAGACAAAATGTGTCAAATTTTGTGAGATATTTCTGAGACATTTTTTCGGCCCTACCGAACTCCGCTGCCTTTTGCGCTAGAAAGATTTGGAGACCCAATTACAACTCACCAAACCTTCCTCTATTTTCCCTGAAAATCTTAAGTCGTTTCGGAGGAGTTTCCCGGACAAGGCGACCCTCTGAAAATCAAAAAACCGTCCATATCTCACGACCGGAAGTGAGATAATCAAAAAGGCAAAAAACCTATCAAGATCAATTGAATATCTTTCAGATCTGAAAGTTTGGTTTAAATCGGACGAGCCATCTCTGAGAAATCGCTTGCACAAAATCGGTTGGAAGAATAATAATAATAATAATAACTAGAAACGATCTCGTTGCGAGCAACGAGTAGGTCTTCCGTCCGATTCCGAAAAATAACCCATAAAATCGAGCTGAAAATGGATTAAACATATTTTGGACACATTGGGAATTGAAACGGGTCACGAGCGTGAAAATCCAATACGCTTATCGATTACGCTATTGAACAACTACTCTTACTTCACTTGTATGTACATATAATTCTGCAACAGTTAATCTGTCTTGGAATTATGAAAGAAGGGTCACTATTCATAATTTCGCGCCAAACGCAACGAGTAAATCTTAGCGAATTTCTCTTGGAATGTTCATTTAAGGTAGAGACCGATAGCAATCACGTGATAGAAAGAATTCGCATATTTGCACGTGCTTTTTTTCCGGATTCCGGAACGCCGTCAAATAAAAGTCTCCATTTACACATTATTGTCTATGCTACAAGATGGCCGACGAAGCGATCGAGGTATTTCCTCGACTTAAAAGACAAAGTTACCATACGTATTAAATCTTTACGGTTCTCGAAATTGAAGCATCTTCATGAGAATCAAAATAGAAGTGAGACTGAAGCCGAACATGAACATAATTTTGGTGAAACTACTCCTTGTCCAGTGTCCATTGCAGCACCACGTGGGTACACCGGTATCGATCTGTGCCTGATGTTGTTTTCTGTATAGACATTTTAAAGACCATGACCCTACAGATGTTAATTGGGATGACGGAAGAAGTAAATTTTTGCAGAACAGATTTTTTGTATGTCCGTGTCAGATACATAAGGTGAATATTTACGACTTATAGTATATCGATCATGACTATGGTGCTTGTTTGTTTACGCATAGGTCTGGTACAACCAGTATATTTAGCTTCAATTACCAATAACCTTCATAGATTTTTTTCCTTCCTAAAGTAGTTTTATTTAGCTAAAATTTAAAACTTATTGCATGACCAGACTGTAGTTTCTAGAATAGAAGAACAAAACCGGACATTTCTGGTGTCAGAACATGATAAAGGCCGGATTGGTAAAAAAATGTAATGTAATCATACTTATCTGTGCCTAACACACGAGGTGGAGTTTAGTTACTCAGATCAAAAAATGGAAAAACATATTTTTCTTAAATTGTTCAAATGCAGAAATGTATAAACTTTCTCTGCTTTGGATGGCAGATGCTTTTTAATTATTAGGCCTATAACCCCTTTTATAAATGATAGTGGACATTTACTTGCAAATCTTTTGTCTTTTTGAAATAACAAGCAAATTGTAAAAAGTTGCATTGAAAAAAAAGAAACAACTTTAGGATCAAGTGACAAAAAATAGGGTCAGTCGGGTAGCAGGAAAAAAGACTATTTTTTTAGCCTTATGTAATATTTATGTACCTGTAATAAATTTATGTATGTGTTTTATGCTCAAAAGGGCCCTGATTATAAACAAATATCATATTCATAGATTATAAAAGAAATATTTAATACTACAGGTGAAGCAAGCTATGAACTAGACAGTGTAGTTAGCTTTCTCTGCTGAAATAATGTGACCAAATCAAGTGTCACCTGGAAAGAGGAATGTCAAGGGTGCTTTTTACATTAACTCCAAAATAGCCATTGGTTTGTATTTTTTCTTTCAATTTACTTTTGCACATGTATCAGGGAAAATCCGGAAGTTTTTTTTCAAGGGGGTGGTAAAAAGGAGGTGTTTTATAATACATGTATTAAAAATTTAAATTTATGATTTTTAGTCCTTGTATTTTTAATTTAAACACCATAATGTACAAACTTACAGTATTATTGTATACATATAGAAGCATTTTCTTAAGTCAATAATTTCTCAAAGATCATATTAATATTTCAGGAAAGTTCAAGCCAGATCTGCTACACCAGAAGTGGCATACTTGTGTGTCAGGAAACGAGGAACATGTATGGCTAGACTGAGAATCTAACCGGGGATCCCTGCATCACTACTTACATATAGGTGTTCTATTGACTTAAATACATGTATGGTTAAATATTTGTGTATAAACATATAAAAAGTCATGTTATAAATTGAATTCAAAACTGAATAACCAAAAAGACTGTAAAATGTAAAGATGTTTTCTAACTTGACTGAAATTGTTTCAACTAAAGCACCAAAGAATTGGTATGATAATATGAAGAAGTCAGTTTTGTTAAAAAACTTGTAATTGACATGTTCTTTTAATATTGACCTCTTCACATTATCATAGCTAAATTTGCAAAATAAATCAAAATTGTTAATAAATTCTACATTTTTTTTAAATAGATCAAGCTATTTACTTTATTTTATTTTCATCATGTTACAGATCCCATGGAAATATAGGATCCTTGGCTAATCAAGTCTCATCTGCAGTGTTACAAAAGAATATTGGATTTATATCAATAAGGTAATTAGGGACGAAACTGAATTTAAAAAATGGAATAAGATGTAAAAAGAAAAGTATCTTAATTCCACATATAACATATAATTGTTAGGTTGCTAGTTGTATATGCATTGATGTGTCACTGACAGGTACATGTAGTTTTTTTATTTCCACAAAAACTTGATCCTTTGGTATTAACTCTTGAACAGTTTGTGCTGAGTCTTTGTATTTTACGTTTTATATTTCTTTTCCTTTAACCCCATGGTCTTGGCCTTAGAGTGTGGCCTACATTTAGAAACTAAAATATTTGATCTTTATCCTTATTTACTAGTTTGTTTAATTAAGACAATTCATTAATCCAAATAATTTCCTTGGGAGCAAAAGTGCCCAGATTAATGAGGCTGACTTTATATGCATTTAATTTTAAAAATTCATGACATTATATAAAAAAGGTATCTCAAAAGTGTCTTATATTCATAAAGACATAGTCATACTATGTTTGCAGTGTAAGAAAGAAGTAAAACATGTATTTTCATTCTTATTGTATTAAAATATTTTGTTCTTTTCAGAAAAAGAACTACCAGAAGGAGACGGAAAAGAGGAACGGACATATCACACCATAACACATGCTTCAAAATCTGAATATACAGAGTGAATTTTGCTTACTGCAGTTCCTTGTGAAAGAACACCTTTGTTATATTGAAATAAAAACAACAGAATTGTCAGGATCCTTGAACATGACGCAACTGGCTGCATACAATGGCAATTAAAAATGCATGTACATGTTTACATTGATCTTTGTTAGCCAATAAGACAAAAAGCAAAATAGCAAGTTTATCCTATTACCGTACATGTACTGAATGTATTCACTTTATTTTGTTGAACTACATCATGAGTTTAAAAATTGTAAAGTATCACATACAGTTTATGGTGGGATTCCTCTAATTTTATGAATCTGTTTGAAAAATCTATACTTTAAAGTTACAAATTATTACCTCTAATACATTGTATGTTTTTTTTTGTAAATTATTACACTATTTTTGTATGTATGCAATGATAACCAAATCACCCAATTTTCCTGCACTTTTTACCATGTATTTAGCATTTTTTTACCATGCTTCAGTGTATTAATATCTGACAACTGATGACCAGGCAGTCTTCATTTAACAGTGTAATACATAACACATTTTTATCTGAATGTTTTTAAAACAAGGATAACATGCTGTGGATTGATTCCGTGTTCAAAACTTCACAATCACTGGGTTTTCTTATTTATGTCGTACATGTATTTGGAATAAAAAAGGAATTGTTAAAAGAAAAGTGAAATTAATCATTCTATTGTTGTCAAAGGAAGATAATAAAACCAGTTTACTTATGCACAGAATTGGTCAAAACACATTGTCATTGATAATTCATCCAAGAATCATATGTATAATAAATCTACAAAGTCAATTTGAACGAAATCAAGGAAAGTTCTTATCTTTTTTAATATAAGTGCAAAAAGGTCAAGCAGGGCAACATGTGTCCAGGTGTACATGTATGAATTGTTTTTTGTGATATAGAATGTAATTTAGAAGAATATTACTTGGAATTTTACTCATTTTCTTTGAAATATTTTGATTAATTCCATCTATGAAAGACAATTTGAACAATATAAAGGAAAGTTCTTATCTTTTTTAATGTAAGTGCAAAAAGGTCAACCAGAGCAACGTTTGTCTAGGTGTACATGTAAAAATTGTTTTTGTGATACAAAATGTAATTTAGAAGAATATTACAAAGAATTTACTCATTCTCTGTGAAATATTTTGATAAATTCTTGATAATCTCTCTTAGTCACCATATTCTTTAAAATTGCATCCTTCTATAGAAAGGGGGTAGGGTAGGGTGTAAGATAATAAACTTGTTCCAGGTTGAATTTAAACCCCATTATGTAGTATGATTTTTTTCTAAAATTTAAGACACTTATAGGCTAACTATAATATGCAATAAAAAAAGAAATTTGATGGGTAATTTTTTCACAGTGGAAGCAGAAGTGTGAGACTTTGTGCAATGAATAGGCAATATTTTAACCTAATTTGACGATGCATCTTGGTAAATGTAATTCTCTTTTTCGCTTACAATGCTTGATAGATTTGAGATTGATGTCAAATATTAATCCATATAGACAGATGTTTGAATTCATATAAGACAAATGATAATTGATATATCAATAAAAAATTTACAGCCCTTTTCATATCATATTCTTATTTTATTTTACCCTGCTTTTTCAGCTCTTCGGTGGTTGATGAAGGCTATATTAGAATTGTCGAATTTCTCTTAAACTAGCCCGATGACCTACCTTGAATTTTTGATATGATTTAGAACAAGGACTAAACACAAACATATAAAAAATTCAGAAAAATTCAATGGGTAGTTTTTTTTGTTGACAACCTATCAATCTCTACCTTAAATAGGTGAGATAGCTTCAATCAAATAACAAAAGAGCGTTCTTATCGCCTAGCCTAAATTTTGAGGTGTGGAAAGTATAACACACACATGAAACATATCGTATATAGGCAAATAACACTAAAGCAGCGAAACAGCTATTAATTGGTAATTTTTCAATTTTCAATCACGAAAGTTGACTATGCCGATTACTTACACTTTCATGAAAAAGGTGGTATGTTTCACCGAAAAAAATGCCTCGATCGCCCTACGAGGGTCAAGAAATAAGATTCTATTATCTTCAATAACTTGCATTGAGAAAATAAAATGTTTATATAGGTCAATTAAACGGTCTTTGAAAAATTGTTATCTTTAAAAATAAAATATTTTCTTATTGTAACAGTTGTCCTTTCTATTGATTTAATATGACACAAGTGTGCATGGGAAAACAGTGGTCACGTTTTTTACCTACTACATTCTTGAAAAACTATTAATTTTAACTATGATTTAAGCTATGTGTTACCATTATGCAAAACAAAAGATATAAATATTGTACTTCGTTTGCACATCAATTCTTTTCTATTTCTACTTTGAGAAACAACCAAAACCAATTAAAGAAGACTTGTAAGTAGACCTTGGATAATAAATGTAGTTTGACACCGAATTGCAACGAACCTACGACGTGACAATCCAAGTATCCCTTCACATTTCATTGTTCCTTATGTTACTTTCGTTCAAGCAAACGCTCAGCTGCCTCTGTAAACCCCTATTGCGAAATGTCGGAATTGACAGAGACCGACGCCATTAAGATCACGCTTCAGACTTTTGAATGTTAATATCTCGAGTTCGAATTCATCAATTTACAAACAAATTATATATTCAGCCTAATGAGAAATGTTTCTATCAACCATACTAATATGATTTGAAAATATTGAAAAACAAAAAAGTTTAAAAATTTGAATTTTTTTCTTTGCATGCCGTTACGACAGGAAGTATAGACGACGTACAAAAGATCGCGTCTTCGATAGTACTTATCTCGATCTATAATCCCTGAAAGTTCCACAGTGATATCTTTAACCGTTCTTTAGATTATCCACGAACAAAATGTCAATTTAAAATCAGATAATTGTCCGTAACTTGGCACCAGAAAGGAATTTTCAAAAAATCTCCAGGATATAGTAACTGCATATAGCAACACATTGTTCCTGCAAATTTCATAAAAATCCATGCAGTAGTCTTCGAGAAATTACGTGCACAAAATTTGATGGTCAGAAATATTATAATTATAATGAGCTCAGGCGAGCTTCAACGCCTTTTGCGCTGGAAAGATATAGACTCAAAAAAGGAATTCACCAATCCTTCCTCTACCTTCACTGAAAATCTCAAGTCAATATCTTCATTCGTTTTTTAGTGATTGCCCGGACAAGCTGACCCTTTTAAAATCAGTAAATCGTCCATATCTCACGACCGGAAGTGACGACGTACTTATAAAAAATTTCCAAAAAGGTTCAGACCAATATCTATCAGATCTGAAAGTTTCGTGAAAATCGACCAAGCCGTTTCCGAGAACTCGCTTGCACAAAAATCGGTAAGAAAAAAAATAATAATAATAGGGAAAAAGAAACCGAACGAAAACAATAAGGTCTTCCGTTGGAAACGGAAGACCTTAATAACTAGATGAAACTCGTTGCGAGCAACGAGAGGTCTTCCGTCCGATTCCGGAAAGAAAACGTAAAATCATCGTGCTGAAAATGTAAAAAACGATTTGCACACAAGGGGATTGAACCCAAGTCGCCAGCACAAAATTTCAACGCACTAAATATTACACTATAGGGACATCTACACTAAATCTACTTGTACATATTTACGAAGCAGTGCCTCTCTCTTAAAATTATGAAAGGCAGGTCACTATTCAAAATTTAGCGCCAAACGCCACGAGTTAATCTTCGCGCTTTTTCTTTGGAATGTTCTATTAAATAGGTGTGATAGCTCTACGTACGTTCTCATAGCCTAAGATTCCAGATTTAGAAAGTATATTTAACACATTTTAAAAAGTCCATATTGTATATATGCTTGTAACACTAAAGCGGTGAAACGGTTATGATTTTTTTTTTTCAATTTCCTGTTTATCCCCAAACTTAACTATCCCGATTAGTTAATTGAAA